TTCCCTACAAAATGTGGCTGCCTGATAGGAACTCTGCACACATTGCCAAGGAATTCCATGCTTACTGTTTCTCACAGACATACCACAGCTTCTGACTCACTTCTATAAGAAGCCAAGTTATGATTGTTCAGCCTCACTGTGACAACAGCAGATTTTTATATATTCTGTAACTGGCAGTTCTGTCTTTAGGACTGCCCCAAATACAAGTGTTTATGTCTTGCAGAATCAACAGAATAGACAGGTATGGATTATTTCTCTTATGCAACACAGGAACCCACAAGGCTTTAATGTGTAACAGCTGGGCAAATCCAATGAAAATAATTTTTTAAAAAGTAAATATAACTGAAGAGAGAATAATATGTTTCATTTTAAAGTTATAACCAGACCTTGTGAGACCCAAATGGATGCTTACTTTAACACATGGCAGACAGCCATGCACATCTTATGGTGCATTCATCTGCTAACAGAAGTATTGTGAATAAATTTTATTGTACAGTAATTTCCTTGGTTATAAACATTCAGCTTCCACATTTATTGAAAGTTAAAAATCAATCAGGAGCCAATAGAATTAGCAACACTTAACAGTCAAAAGGTGCACAAGTCCTTGAAGGACTCAGACATTAGTTATTAGTAAAGCCAGCTGATACCAAGCAAACTTGTAGCAAGTATTTCTAACTAGCTACTTCACACTGAAAAACAATCACAAGAGAACTTATCTGAATATAGCTATGTCTCAGCCTTTGACTGAGAGATGACAGCTAAAAGAATTCTCAGCTTGGAAGAACTGTTTTATAGTTGAAAAAAAAGATAGGTTTGGCCAATGTTTAAAAAAAAAAGTTATTTAAAACTGACATTTGGACTCTACAGAGTTAACAAGATTTAGTCCAGAAAAGCATACTTCATAGGATCACCACCAAACCAAACAAACAAAATTCCCCAACCCCTGCTACCAATAACTCACACTTGAAAGCACCTACTTCAAACCTCAGGACAGGGCTCATGATCCACCATTAAATTTTGCGCTCTCTCTCTCTGAGCCACTAACAATTAAGAAAACAGTTTTCCAGCCAGCTACATATTCATTTCATCACCATTTAATCTCCAACCACATTCGCCTTAGCATGCTTATAAACCTCATACAAGAACATGCCAAGAACTGGGCTTTTGAGAGATAGCATGATAGATGTGACATGACAGATGGCACCACGATGGATGATTCTCCTCTATTCACAAGGTCTGTTATCCTGTCAAAGAAGGAAATTAGGATGGGCTGATGTGATTTTGCTTGACTAAATCAGCAGTAACCATTACTTATCACTTCATTGTCTTCTAGATTCTTATGAACAGTTTGGTTATTCAGTTCTAGGGAAATTTAAGCAAATTTAAGCAAAGTCGTCTGTAAGCAGATCCTCTCTCTGGCCCTACTGATAATTGACAATCGCTACATTTGTTTTTTCCCAGTCCTTCTGAAACATCACACATTCTCCATGACCTCTCAAAAGTAATTACTAACAGCTCCCAGACTGTTTCACAAAGTACTAAGTATCATGAGTGCTGAAAACCCTATTTACTGAGGTCATGTGAGGAGAACTACAGAGCCACTAACAGTAATAAACAAAACAACTTTTGCATGCAAAATAGCATGGAAATGAAAGTTATCAGAAGACCAAGACCTACAAGGTATTTCACAGTGCAGGGACTGAAGCACCGTCCATCAAACAAAAAAAAGCCTTCCAAGGAAACACAAATGAACATCCTGTAGATCAAAGTCCCCTCCAATCATTGCAACTCATAACAAAAATCACACTGGCTACATAAAAAGCGATAAAGCACTGCATGCTATACATAAATGAAGTAACTTATATTTTACTTTGGCTATTAGCATATTATTCTTCATTCACTAAAGTGATGTACATATCAAATACTGACTGACAATACTTGAACTAATGATTAACACACCCACCCAAAAAAGATGTTTGTTATTACAGTCTCACTACCTATGGCTCCATAGGTAAAGTTGAGTCCAAGTTTTTCTTGAGTCCAAACACTAAATGCCAAAAAATTCATGTTGCAAAATTTTACCTTTGTTTACTTTCCAGAAGTTAGAAGATAAAGGCCACCATGCCTATCTAACTTGTTATAATTTTATATAGTGTTCAAAAGCATGTACAAGACATGCACATGTTCCCGTATCTGTAAAAATGGTGTGTGGGGACAGTGTGTTCGTAGGAGTGAAGTATGTGTGAATGCATATACCCTTACATATTGTAATAATACACAATTTAAGTGAAAGTAAGGAAACTAAAGTAGTAGCTGTCATGGCTTAAGCATACCAGAAGCAGGAAACTTGCAGAAGACATGGCTGTCCTGGTCAAAGGAAACAGCAAAACAAAAACTGACATAACTGAAATGCCAAATTATATTTTTCCTCCTTAATGTAAAGAATATTTAATTGATACCTGCCACAGATCTTGGTTTTATTCCTGGTAATTCATGTGGAATACAACCATAGGCTGAAAGTCTGAAGAAAAAAATGCCACAACAAAACTTTTGTATTATAAATAATTACAGTTACAAAAGACTGGAAGATGGTAAATACATTGCTGATGTCTAAAAACATAATGAAGTTATAGGCAGCAATGCAAAAAGTTTCATAGCAACTAAAAGTTTTAGAGCTGCACCTGGCAAGTTAGCTTACATAACAACAGTTAAAATAGAATAAAATAGCTGGAAGACTATAAGATCTACCCACCATCAAGGTTTCTCAAAAGGAAAAGTTGCATTTCACTAATCTCTGGACCATGTGTTAGGCAGAGATAAAGGAGTAGATAAAGAAGAAAAGATTTACTACTTTGATATGCAAAAGGCTTTCATTAAGGTCCCTGGGAGTCTATTAAAAAGCTAAATAATCACTGGGGGAGGAAAACAGCCCCAATCAAACACCAAGAACTGGTTCCTAATATCAGATGGGAGGGTTGAACAATCACTCATCTTTACAACAAAAGATCGGAAGCAGAACACCCTCCAGTTCAGGCTAAGTTTTATGACTTACTTGCCCCTTTTGAAATTTTTGAAGAGTAAAGTATTAAAATCTTCAGATGAGAAGGAAATGCTAAAAGGATCCTCTGAATAATTTAAATAAAGGAACACAATAGGGATGTTCAGTCAAATTTTGATAAACAAGGGATAAAACTTACAACACACTTTGCATGACCCTAACAAGCCACATTGATTCACCACCAACAGTATATGACTCCTCCCTGCTCAAGATGTGTTATTTTAAAAGAAAATTAATAAAATTTTATGACACAACCTGCAATATTCTTTGTCTACTCCAAAAATATAACATTTTCCTCGAAGGTGTATAATTTTTTAGAATACAGTGGAATTCTGGTTATCCAAGAAGGGGACAGAATTCATCAGAGTACAGATAAGGGCTATAGGACTGACTAAGCAAAAGGAGAAACCTCATATAATGAAACATTAAAAAAAAGAGGATTATTTCTATTACCATATGAATGCAATGTAATCAAATACATCAGATGATCCAACAATGCCTGTCAGCTGAACTGCTGTGCCCTACTGCTGCATGCATTCTTGGCCACCTAAGCTCTGAGATAAAGCACCTTTGTTCGAACTTCAAAATCTTACAGATCAGAACTAGACCTAAAGGGAAGGCCAAAGGCAGTAGATACAATCTTTTTAACTTTCCCACTTCAGAGTTCTTCCACCTTTGTGTGAAACACCTGGCATCTGGATACTGCTGGAAGACTAAATATAGGACTAAATGGATTTCGGTATGGATAAACTAGAGCAAATTCCTAGGCTTCTAGCTCACTTAACAGCCTATATCCAATTGTCAAAATTTACTTATAAGCAAATGTCTCTGGGGTGGATGGAATATACCTACAGTTCTATACAGTTAGGAACTTTTGACAGTTTTGCTACACATTACCCCCAAAAGAGAGTGAAGATTTACTCTCTTAAATGCTCGATATTATTTCTTTACATAAAAAAACCTTCTACACCAAGACTCTGGAAGAAGGAATGATTTGTTGGTTTGTGGTTTTTTTTTTACTGGGGGGAGGGGCAGAACATCAATATCCTTTGAAATTCAGTATAAGGCAAAAAGCTCTGATGAAATTTTTCCTTTTTCCACATCACTACTAGGTATACTGGTTCTGCAAAACAAATCAAGTCTCACAAATATTTCTATAATCCTTTTAAATGACACTCTTAAGATCCCTTGTATGAATTCAGCTAAATAGTAAAAACAGGTATTTAAGAACTGAGTGAAACCGTGTATCAATCCAAGTGTTTTTACATAAGAAAGAAGAGAATCTAACTCTTACCTCAAATGTCAGTTAAGAATGTGACGGGTTTTTTCAGTCATTTTTCAGAGCAGGATCGCAACATAAATCTATTCACACTTTCTTTTCCATCTTTGGAAATCTTTTCCATCTTTCCTTCTTCCTCCAAACTCTGTCTAGATTTGGGATTACTCCTCCCCCTTCTCCCTCCAACTTCATCTAGATTTTGCACATTGTTTTTTCTCATTCCATTCCTTCTTCCAACAACTTAGAGGAACATGGGTAGCTTGTTTTTCCTACTTAGTAGGTTTCATTCACCAAAGGAATAACCTTGTATTAGTGACAGCTCAAGAGAGGGCTTTTTTCATTTGGGTGTTGCCCTAAAGTGAATCATATGTTCTCCATGGCAAAAAATTGTGGATGTTCTTAAGCTAGAAGGATTAAATCTATTTATTTAAGATGGAAGGATTATTTATTTGTAGTGATGTGTACATGTCCTGGGCTAATTTGTCATAGACATGCCTATTAACTTGTTCTGTCACATTCCTAATAATACCAATATGACTGCCTTCAGACAAAATACCCTTCTACTTCTGTGTCAGATCTACAGCAGAGTTGTATGTCAAGATACACTGTACTGGGTTCAGACTGGGATTTTTGTCTGCCTTGCAGAACACAACAAACGAAGAATGAGATTTAATTTATTTCACCTTCATCTACAGAGAAAAACTTACACACTGACCCTCTTATCACTCTTAAACATGCACATGATAAATAAAGAGAACACCTTTCAAAATCTGAGCATTAATGAATTGGCCAATTAATGTAACTCAGGTAAGTATTAACTGAATGTGTGAACTGCAAGGATATTGAAAAAATAAACATATAAATATTCACCAGACATTATCCACAAACAACAAACCAAAATTATGAACTCTTTCAAAACATACCATAAAATATGCTAAATATATATATAAAGCCCAGAATTATAAGAATTATAATAATATATATATAAAGCCCAGATTATAAGAATTTGTAAATGCATGTCAGACTGTACAGTCTGCCACTATACCCACCGACCCATATATTCCTTCTTTTTTCAGGTCTTCACATTTAATTGCTATCAATAGTGCTGTATCAAATCCTTAAGTAGTGAAACAAAGTTTAAAAATGCAGAGACAACACAAAAGCAATATACTTGGACAATGTTTATATAAATACGCTCCTTTCTTCAGTGTGAAAGTTTCACCTCAAATGGGCAAAATTTACTGCTCAGCAGTGGAACAGAAATAAGAACTCGTAATACATGCATTCTACCAACACATATTAAAAAAAAAAAAAGCCAGCTGTATTATACCTGTTGTCATGGTATCTGTGGGGATGATGCTGTAAAACATCTTGCAGAAAACGCTCCATCAAGCTACTGGTACCCATACGATTTCTACAGTAAGTGGTAAAATGTCTATGCTGGGAGCTGAAAACATGCTGGTAAAAGATAAAACAGATGACTAGTTTAATACTACTGTTAACACACTGGCCTGTTCCTAAAAATTACTTCCCAGATTAAACATTACCCTGTTGCCCAGGTTAAATATTACACCGTTGCTATGAAAATATTTAAATAAAAAGAAAAATATTCAGCCTTTTCTACTTTAAGGCCTTGATTCAATGAGATTTTTAAGCATGCTTAGGGAGTCTCAAATAATACTAAGATGTATTGAAACATCTTTCCGAGCTGCAACCTAAATTAGCAGCTCTGACAGCTGCTCACAAATCTCTTGTAACTAGTACAAATACTCTCACAAATCTCACAGCTGCTCACAAGTCTCTTGTAACGAGTACAAGTACTCTACATGTATCTATAAATGACTATTAAAATATTCTTGAACTTCACATGAGTAAGCATCCTATAATTCACTCAAATTAAAAAGAATTTTCATAAGCATAGAAGATTAAATAGGCTTCTACTTTCTAATTAAAAAAGTCTAAAAGACAGGAGACTGACAGAGTTAAAGAATGGAAAAGAAAATAGTTGATCAAATGTCTTCAGCCTTGATATCTAACATATTAACCCTAATACTTTACAATATATACAGATCTCAAGATTAAAGCCACAGCAGTAAAGCTAGCGGATGCAATGCACAGCAGCATGCCACTTCAGAAAAGCAGACTGCGGTAGCCATGCCACTCCACCAGCATCTTTTTAACAGGTTACAGATAAGAAGGGTATCTTCTTCTCAGTGCATACATTGTGCAATTCACAGATTGATTATTTTTCATTCAGTAATGGTTGTTCAGTGTAGAGGCTGATATTTTATAAGCTGATAAAGCCTTTTGGTACTCCTTGCTATCTGTTGCTGAGTTATGCAGAAGCCTTCTCACCTGTTCCAGATTACTGTAGTGTACATGGCAACAGTTGCAGTACCCTTGTCTGTTTTGCACAGTGGATACTCCAGGCTGAGGATGTTCTTGCCCTCTTGTGTGTAAACTGAAAGAAGCAGGTAATATTACCAAGACACGTTGGGTTGTTTAATTTATATTCTTATCATGGAAATTCTAAATATCTGTCTTACTACAGAGCTGGAACAAACCTTCAAGATAAATGTTTCTATTTCAGAATTGTAATGGCAAGTAGGACTACATATTTGAAGGTATTCCCAAGCAAATTTCACTAGGTATGGCCAAGCAAATTTCACTAAAGAAAATTTTTCTTAAATGTAGAACAAAGGATAACAGGTTGAAGGCACAGCTAACACAAATGCTAATTTCAGTTGGCTGAAATCTGAAAAGAACTGTCTCTCCAGACAAAGGCAGTCATCTTTCTCTTCTTCTGGTTTTTTAGTATTTTGAAATTAAAAAAAAAATAGACCAAAGACAAAGAAATCTTGACACCCACACATTAGTTTTGGGCACTACAATGTGCCTTCCCCACAGTTTTTAATAGTATGTGGGTACAAGATAAAACGGACCTCCGTCATACACTTTATCTACATTGCATCACTATCAGCCATTACACAAGATAACAGATAAGGTTGAAAAACAGATTCTTCCTGGTTTACTTTGTGTAAGCAGTAATCTAGATGACAGTTAGATCATCACCTAACTTACCTGCTACTGCTGTCCTGTCGTAGAGAGCCTTCAACACCATGTCTTTCGATTCCTATAGAAAAAAAACCCACAAAACCACAAAACAGAATATCAGAGATGGAATAGAGTTTTACCTGCAATTAGTTACTTCTCTTACATTGCATGTCAAAACTACTATTTTAATGGAAGTTTAGTAAGTTCAAGAAAGCATGTAGAGAGAGACCCTTTTGTCCTCAAAGTTCCTCTAAGAGCTTCATAAAACGAGCTTTACTCTTTCATGGTTGAGGTGAGTGGGAATTTTTCTACTGATTTGTCTGGGATCAAGACTAAGCAATCTACATTTACACTGCTACATCTGTGATCGCTGAGATAAAATGTGGCATGACTTAAACAGCTTATTACAGGACAAGAAAACTACATCTACTTGGAAACTCTGTGGATGATTCAGAAGTCACTTCTTCCATCTAAGTTCTGTAATGAAATTTAAGAAATCAAAGTATGCAATTGAAACTACAAGGTGAACTAATGCTTCTACTGTTAATTATTACATTAAAAAAAGAATAACTGTAACAAAAACATCTACTTTAAACTTCTCACCTTGTGCTGAAGAAGCAGAAGCTTCATCAGATGGTTTGATTCTGTCAAACATCTGTAAGTAAAAAATAACTGAGAATAAAATAAAAAAAAAAACACAGTAAAGCCCATCCTCAAGTTCATCCTTCAGTCCAAGCTCCAAGCTGTTCAGACGCACTATGTTGTTTCAGCTATAGACCAAGACTTGACTTAACAAAGCTGTATTACAAAAATAAATTTCTGCTTTACTAGGTTACCCTAATATTATATTTAACAATGCATAGTAGCTTTGATAGAAGGGGCTAATTTCTGATCTAATTAACAAAGTCAAATACTATACTTACAAATACAGCTTAGACTTTGTTAGGTTATTAAGCAATAACCTTGTCAAATTCATTTAATTACTTAATTTCCTAAGTTGCCTTTACAATGAAGATGAAAGATATATGCTAATAAAAGCCATACAAGACCTAGACCACGTGAAATAATTATCCAGGCTGGAAAAGCAATCCTTATTGCTCAAAAGACCCGCAAACCAATACTGAATCCCACAATTTTTAATTAAAATATGACTGCAGCAACATGCAGTTACATGCTTTAGGGTGCCCAAACACAAAGGGCTTCCGAGTTTCACACAGTCCTTTTACATTATGGAATGCAAACATAAAATCAGCTTTCTAGTACAAACCTTAGAGTCATCAACTTTCTTCATCCACCAAAGCTGACTCCAGACTAGCAAACAATAAATGCCGAACAGGAGGCCATTTGCAGTGCAGGACACTTATCTTTTCTCATCCCATCTGGCAACAATGAAGTTAAAGAGCCTTTTAAAAGAGAGTTAATAATGCATGTTTTCCATGCCCTAAGGCATGTAAATTTTTCTGTACCACTTTGCAAACACATCAGTCAATAAAATGAATAAATCTCTTTTTGAAGTCTGCAGTACATCCTTCTTTTTTATTATGGAAGTTGTTTTGACAGTCTTTCCTACATAAATGTTAACCATTCCTTCTGGAATAACTTTGTTCCTTCTTTCTTCCTCATAGTCCCTATGCATTAAATTTTGTTGTCATTTTGGATGCTAGCACTCATGAAATTAAGTATACTTCTACAATAACAGAAAACAAATTCCTCAATATTAACCATATTGAAATGAATCTATTTTGAGCATCGTTCATGAACCTGATCAGAAAACCAATGTTTTATTTTGCTTATGTTACCTAAACTAGTTAGATATTGCCATAACACATTAACTGGAAATTTCACAGTAGGTTGCATGTTCAAAGTATTTTATAAGTTAATCATTATATACTCAATGAAGTATTATCATTAGCATTACAGATAGGAAAACAGAAAGGCCACAATAATTTGCACAATCACTCTCACCAGCGTCACAGTGAAAGTATCACATCCTGTCTCAAAACTCAGGACTTAGCAGTTCTTAGATCTGCTCTTGGCTTACCATTTATGTAATTGTGGGATGACAAACTTAAAGTTTCAAAACAACCACTTTTACTGTTTATCTTTTATAAACTGTTTTTACAAGAATTATTCCTTCCCTTCTCCTTTCCTGTTCTCATATATGTAGAAAAGATGCTCCTATATGAGGCTACATACCATCAGGCTTGACAGATGTGTGATTTGTTGTTTGTTTTCTTTAAACTTGTTTTGCTCTTTCCCCGACTATGTACTGCTCATTATAAAATAGCAGGGCTGTTATAGCAGTTATGGTCAGAAGGAATATCTTGATATCTCAACTCAAAAAAACCAAACCAAAACAAAAAACGAAAACAACAAAAAAACCCAACCCACAAACCAAAACCAGACCACCAACAAACAACCCAACCAAAACACCAGACTTGTTCTTCTTCCCATAGTGGATAAATTCCTGTAATAATATTAAAAAAAAAAAAAAAACAAACCAAAAAACAAAACCCAAGAAAACAACCCAGCTGTTCTTATAAACCTTCTCATCAGGTGACTGAGAAAAGCTTTCTTGATAGATTAACTTATCTCAGTTGCCCTGTTCAGAGTCCTATACGCAGCTGGGATCCAAAAGAAGTGAAGGAAAAACCCACAAGACTGTCTTTCATGAATTATGCTTTATGGAAAGTAACTTGTTCCACATGCTCGAAGTCAACTTACCAATTTTTAAGATCTTACTATATATATCTCTATATATAGATATTCTTAAGGTAAAGCTACAAATGTGGAGCGCAACAAGAGCGTAGCAGCCACAGAGGAGGCTACCCCACTGACAGTCAGCAGGGGACACCACAACAACTCATCCCCATCCGCTGCCCCAAAACTGGATTAAAGCACCTCAATATACAAATACCTAGTTTCATCTCAGAGACGCCAGGCAGTGGCAACCGCAGTATGTTGGAGGATAACTACTTACAAGGGTTCATTACTTCCTTATTTCAAGCAATAATTTCAATGGTGGTGTGCTACTGAGAGTTCGCTCATCTGCAAGTACAATTCTGCAAGTTACACCCCCAGGTCAAGACACAGACTCACGCACATTTAAACCGAGCTAGGAGCGCAGTAACAGCACAAGACTATGAAAATAACTCCACTGAATGCCAGTCTGGTCTACAGTTTGAGAGGATTCGATGGACCAGATAGCCTCACTGGAGGAAGGGCGTATTAGGTAAAACTTGTAAAAGCCTGGCTATTAGTAACAGACAGAAAAACATCAGAGGAAGACCTTTCAGACATACTTAGGTACAAAGCTGACAACAGAGGAAAACCCATTCTCTTTATCTCAGTGTTTTATGAGAACACTAGTGTACAGGACAAAGAAAAAAATCTGACCTCAAACTACATACAGCTTGCTTACCACATGAAGTCAAGATCAAATCACAGGCTAGTAACGTAAAGGAAATCTACTACGCAGATGCTTTATTTATGTTGCCAAAATCTGGAGAGCCTAACTGCAATCCTTACTTTACCAAAACAGGGACTACAGCTGAGAGGGGCAAGGGCCCGCTCTATTTTGAGAGAGCTCCGCCACGGACAGCCGAGGCGCCCGCCCCTGCTGACAGGGATCCCCGCCGCCGAGGGCGCTGAGGGGACGCTGGCGGCACCCGCACGCGTTAACGCCCGCGCGCGCGCAGGGGGCTCGCTGAGCAGCGCGCGGACACCGCCCCAACGGCCCTAACAGCCCCTCCCGTTCCCAGCCAGCCCCCTTCCCCCGGCTCGGCCCGGCGGCGCGCACTGCCGCGCATTCCCGCTGCTGCCGGCACCGCCTCACCTCCATCGCTTCCCCGTCAGCTCTTCCGTGCCACGCTGGGGTCAAGGGACGCCATCCTTTGCTTCCTGCTCCGGGTCGGCGCGGTGCGGGCGGAGCAGAGGGCTGGGCTGCGGGAGGGGAAGGGCGGGATCTGCTGTTCCCGCCCAGGCCTGCGCGGCTGCGCTGGCATTCTCTGCCCGCCTGCGGGCCCCTCCTGCCGTCTATGGTCGCTCTCCGCCCGCCAGGGCTCCTGCGCGCCTCTCTCCCGGGCCGGCCACGTCTGCGCTGCCGGGCGAGGCGTACCGCCGCCCCCGCGGGAGCTTCCCGCCCCTGCGCCGCCGTTTCCCTGCTGCCGGCGCCCTCGGCCCTGTGAAGGGTGGCAGCGGTCACTCGTAGGGGCTGCCTGAGTTAAGCGGGGAGCCGCCCGGCGCAGCCTGCCGCCCTTTCGGCTCGGGCGATTTTCTTCCCCTGTGGCTGTGCTAACGCAGCTTGAACGGAGCCCGAAAAGCCTTGGGTTTCTCCAGCCAAGGTGCTGGAAACCTGCTCCAACAAATCAGGGGTTTGCGTCTTTTTGTCAGCTCCAGTCGGGATTTTTCTGGTTTGGGAGGTAGCGTCTTTGATAAATTTTATTTCAACAACTCTGAGAGTTGTTTTCTCCTTCAAAAGACATTATTTCATATGCTTGAGAGTGGACTATAGGTTTTATACTTTTTTTTTTCATTTTCTGTCATTAAAAATAGCTTGCTTTTCATGGTGTACCTTGTTTAGATTTTATCAGAAAGTGAAAGGTCTTAGTTTGACTTTTTGATGGAGTTAATGCTAGATCTGGGTTTTGGTTTGTTTTGTTGTCTTTTTTTTGTTTTGTTTTGTTTTTGTTTGTTTTTCCCTCAGAGATGTGTTTAATAATATGACCTTAGTTCAGGTTCTCTTGTTTTCAATGGTAGGTTTTTAATGTTTATCTGATCTCCCGTGGGAAACCAGCTATTGCGTATTTTGCTCATTGTGCTGAAGCAGCAGGATTTTTTAAGCAATCTGGGCAGGCACAAAGATAATCAACGCCCTCATGTGTGAAGACAGGTGCAGATACAGACTTGGCTTGTGCATCAGGGGAAAAAAATCCTGAATGCACCATAACACGGAACATTTAAACAGAGGCTGCTGCAAAAAGATGCTGTTGTGTGATTATGAAACCATAGCTTAGAAATGTCCACCCACGCTGAACAAATAATTGAACACAAATTTCAAATGGAAGAACAGCACGAGAAGGCTTTAATTGCTGTTGAATTCTTTTGGTATGTGCATAGATATGAATATGTTTTTATTGCTGAAAAATAAGTACTTAATACAGAACTCAAGTTTCCTGGTGATATTTTGTTGCCTAGTATAATACAGAACTTGGCAAAACTGGAGCTGATTTAAAAAAAAAAAAAAAGGGGGGGGGAAAGAATACAACTTTTTAGTTGTTTAGTTATGTATAGCGTAATGTTTCTGTCTTTTAAGGCTGACAGGATCCCCTAATCATTTTACACTCATTTTAGCTACATTTATTTTGTTGGAGATAACAGAATAAGATGATGGCTTAGTTGAGGCATCTTGGTAGACATAAGATTTCAATACAAGCGTAACTGGGAGAATCAGTCACTTTGGTAGCATGGAAAGGATTTTTTAATTCAGTGATGGACAAATGAAAACTTAGGTTTAGATGGAATTTTATGGGTAGGAGTGGGGATTTCTAAGAACCAGTCATAAAATTTTGCAGATGCAGTATTTCTGCAGAGAAGATTTACATGCATGAAAGTTCAGGCACATGCCCAAATTATTGCATGTCAGCAAAGCTGCATCGTTTAAATGTGTGTACTCCATCTGTGCCAAACACACTTTGAAACATGTTACCTTAGGCCAAAATAGTTTACCTTTATGACAGTTTATAGCAGGCTTAGTGAGTTACTGCAGCTCAGCTGACGCTTCATAACTTGTTGAAACAAAGTAAGCTCAATTACATAGCTGAGATACTGACATTTAAAAAAAAAGGTGGGGGGAAAGAATACAACTTTTTAGTTGTTTAGTTATGTATAGCGTAATGTTTCTGTCTTTTAAGGCTGACAGGATCCCCTAATCATTTTACACTCATTTTAGCTACATTTATTTTGTTGGAGATAACAGAATAAGATGATGGCTTAGTTGAGGCATCTTGGTAGACATAAGATTTCAATACAAGCGTAACTGGGAGAATCAGTCACTTTGGTAGCATGGAAAGGATTTTTTAATTCAGTGATGGACAAATGAAAACTTAGGTTTAGATGGAATTTTATGGGTAGGAGTGGGGATTTCTAAGAACCAGTCATAAAATTTTGCAGATGCAGTATTTCTGCAGAGAAGATTTACATTCATGAAAGTTCAGGCACATGCCCAAATTATTGCATGTCAGCAAAGCTGCATCGTTTAAATGTGTGTACTCCATCTGTGCCAAACACACTTTGAAACATGTTACCTTAGGCCAAAATAGTTTACCTTTATGACAGTTTATAGCAGGCTTAGTGAGTTACTGCAGCTCAGCTGACGCTTCA